TGATGTCAAAAATGTGGAAAGAATGATGTAAAACGCCCTGGAGGCGTTCTTGGGTGTTTTTGGGATCGTTTTAGGGTTGAAAAGTCGTGCAAGATATGTTACCAATGGAGTTTTAGTCATAGAAGGAAAGTGGAGATTCCGGTTTCAAAATGTACCATGCGGCCGCAAGGTACAATTCCTTGCGATTGCAAGGAACAATTGAAATGTACCATTTTATTCCCTGAACTGCCTTGTGCGGCCGCAACACCAAAAGCACCATGCGGCCGCATGGTGTTGATAAACTTCCATCGAATAGTTTTTAGTATTTTGACCATAATTTTCTCTCCCGATATTCGATTGAGGTGATTCAAGATGTATTAGAAAGCTAATCCAAAGAGCTACAACTTGTCTTCAGACATCATCTTCAAATTTGATTGTTTCTATGTCAAACATTGGTCTCAATTTGGGGCTGAAAATCGGTGTAAAACTTTTCAACTTGAAAATTGATGTGTGATAGTTCCTTCATTATATTTCATCCATTTGACTTCTATCCTCATCCAATTGATTTCTAACACTCTCAAATCTTCATATCTTCTTTTGCCTTCCGAACCAACTTTTGGATATTTGTAATTTAGTCCTTAAACTTTCATTTTCCTCCTTTTTGGTCATTTTTCACATGTTTCTCCTTATTTCCGCTACATTCATCATTTTGTCCTGCAAAACATAAATTGCATATAATTAAACTATATTCCAACATATCAATAAACAATTTCTCATGTTTTGATAGTAAAATAAGTATGTAAAAATGCACTTATCAGAATTCATCGAACGATTCATCGTCCTTCATCTAATCTCTTCAAAGCTAGTTGTTAACATATGCAGTTTAGAGTTCTTAATCATTTTAGTTCCCTCGTGCGTGGTTTCTAAAATATCCAAAACTTCTTTAGTAGTTTCATACATCGACACTCGTCTAAACTCTTCAACAGATACTGCCAAGAGCAGAGCATGTAGTGCTTTACTCTTCTAGGTGATTCATATAGGTTAATTTTAGTCCACATAGATATGTCAATGGATGTGACTACACCAGCAACAGTTGTTGAAGGTGGAGCCCACCCATTTTGAACGCTAATCCAAATACGTTCATCCAAAAATTCAAGGAAGACTTTCATTCGAACTTTTCAGTAGGCATAGTTGCTTCCTTCGAAAAATGGAGGCACATACAATGACTGACTTATCTAGATGTTATAAAGGATCAGGAATCGAATTAAGGCTCTGATACCAAATGAAAGTTAAACAGTTCAACCCTAACAATACCTAGAGGGGGGTGAATAGGTATATTATGCAGAATTAAAAATAGTTTACGAATTAAACAACAAGAAGTCACTTTTTAATTCTTCTCTAAATGATTAAACATGCAAGTCATTTAGCCCTAAGTTTGAATACCGCAGTTTATATGATCAAAAAATAACAAAAGTAGTAAATCAACATCAAGATGATCACGGAGAAACCCAACTAGGAAAACCTCCAGACACTTTGCTAGGCGACTATAAACAATTCAAACAACTTACAGTCTATCAAACAAGATAACCCATACTATCTGATTACTTGACTATACTCCTTACAGCTCTCCCTGGATCCCGTGCTCCCTGCACCAATCCTTAGTTACTGTTGCCAAAGCTCTTCGGGGAATCTGCTACCCTAAAACACTCCTAAATTTGTGAAATCGTCTATTTCTCGTGGATCAATGAAGAACACCGCGTTCTTCACAGATTGGAACTCCAGTCAAACTTCCTCGATCTCCAGAACTCTGACCGATGTAGAGGAAAATTAGTTTGGTATTTGGATTATAGAAACGATATTTTTCTCACCAAAACAATCAAAGTAGATGAATGTTGAAATACAAAATCGAATTAATCTCTCACAAATGAAGTTCTCTCAATGTTCAACCTCATAAATTTTCCTACAAAAGTGTTTTGGTATATATAG